ACCGATTTCTTGGAATGCAAAAAGTTTGCAAGAGTACCCACCCCTAATTTTCCCCAAAATCATGGGTTCGCGAACTTCTTACGTCGAGGAAAGACCGAAAATTTCTTTTCTCTGTTCGTTACAAAGTGGTTAGAGCGAGAATTTACTGACCAGAAGGTCCGTGGTTCGAATCCGACCTCCGCCACTCGACTTTCCCTGTCTAGGCTTGGGCAACCTAGCAGTATCCCAGCCCTCGTGCTTCCTTGGGGTGGCATGGCAGCTAGGCACCGAAAGGGTGCTACAGCTGAACGCTTTTTTTTACAAGGTTTTATATCCCATCTTTGAATTCCATCACAATTTATCTCACGTCACCAGCCTATTTTACGTTATCCATCATCACAGCGTTCTTGAGAAAAAGATATCACACTGTCATTCACAGCACATCAATACTCAACGCAGATGTTCTGCTGTCGTAGGGCTGTAAGTTGCCTGAAAGCTTTGTTTTGAAGAAAGAATAAATGTGGATAGGGACTTGATGCTAGGCTACCACTATCATTTTGAGGTGCCTGCATCTCCAGACACTTATTCAGACAATCTGAATAGAAGCAAACAACAACAACGCCTATGGACGATCCTAGGTGAGTCGCACCGGCAACACGCAAAATTTTCGTAACAGCTCTCATGCATCTCTGTCAGGCGGGGCGTCTGACTACCTCTTTGCTTGCACAACTACGAATCTGGATCGAAAAACAACACTATTTCCCGTAAACGTTTCGGGATTCGTGAGACATGACCAATCCACCGCGGTCTTTTGTGCTGGATCGCAGCCCATGTTGCACCAGCCTACGCGAGACAGTGGTTATCGAAGACCTGAAGACTTCATGGTTCCGCTGTTTGCAGAGACCGTTTCTCATAAACGAACATCTCATCCAGTAGCCTGATATTACACGTCCCCTGCGATTCGGAGGGGTTTTTCATCCATGTGTCTCAAGTTAGCAAGTGCGATCTAAGAGTCTCGTGCATCGACCACATCTGCTGCATTAAATTCGAAGCTTAGTAGATATTCAAGATATGCAAAACGCTCTACAACCTCGAGTATCCCTTCTAGTGTTAAGTAACTGCATGTCCAGGAGCATGACTTTGCACTTTGTGGATGCGAAACCTCGAGTACCCTTCTAGTGTTAAGTAACTGCATGTCCAGGAGCATGACTTTGCACTTTGTGGATGCGAAGCGCGAGCGAAGGTAGGGGACATACTTTGTCAGTTCGTCCTCTTCGGACACGATAACGATGTCTTTTGCATATCCCAGGAGCATATCTTCAGTAGCTACTTGAACACCGGAGTTTGAAAGTCTTAGCATTCATTGTATTATGACGTTGATCACGAAGGTGAATAAGAATGAAAATAGTGGGCATCTATGTCGGACACATTTTTCACAAAGACTTGGAAAGCCCCACGTATGCTGTCACCTGTTAGAATGTGAGAGTACAAATAACTGGCTCAGTGGATGTAGTAAAGGGAACAGACCGGCCAAAAAAATCAAATGCGCATTGGGAAACCAGGGACAGCGGAATCGCGGGTCGCTTATAAGTATGCCATTGTTCAACTACCTGTCCGAGTGCGAAGACATGATCACTACATCCCGCTGAAATCCCGTTTGTTGATCTCGAGTCATGGGCCATTATAAGGTGACAAAGGACGGGTAACACTAAGATTCTCGTTAAAATTCCAGCCAAAATTGAGCAATGTGAGTGGGCGGTTATCGGGACGAAGAGCTCGGTGGTATATGAGAGAAATGTAGTCATAAGACACCAGGTGGGTTCCAAATTCACAGTTCAGAGTTCTAATGCGACTCGAAAACCAACCTAAGAAGCATCAGGTGGCCACGAGAATGGTTCAGTGGTCAAGTCGTCCTTATAAACTGAAGACAGTCAGGTCAGTCTGTTTTTTGACCTTTTCGTTCGAAGGCTATTTTTTGAGAGTGGTCGCACGAATCAACTGAAGTAATCTCCATTCCCAGCACCCCTAGTCTTTTCCGTATCCTTCTAGATCTTTCAGTCTCTCATTTGTTAAGCGAGTTGTCCGCGCCTTGCGCAGTCCTGAGAAACAACTCCAGACAAGTGCATGGCCAGAATCTACGCAATTGTCCCAAAAAGAGTGATACTGGTAAATGATGATTTGATCTGTTTGGGTCGATAGCCGGCATGCTGTTAGGGGGACCATGTGGCCAGACGATTTCGGTTATTCTGAAAGTTAGTCTTGAATCTAAACAGCTTGCGGTCAGCAGATGTCCGCATGTCCTAAATACAGTCCAAGTCTTAAATGTGCTAACTCTGCCCACTTACGAATTCAAATCTCCGGCACTCACAACGCCATCTCAGGTTTAGCCAGCCTAGTATAGCACTCATGACATCATAGGGATATCTTGGATGGTGTCACAGCTATTGGCAGTTGTGGCTTAAACCGACACGGTAAACAGATAACAATGTAATCCCCGCTGGTGAGGCGCATGATGCCAAACGAACCGCAGAGGCAACTACCGACGGAAATCCAGTCAAACAGGGAGTCTTCCGCGCCTTTTTTTAAATGATGCTCGTCGCAGAACAGCCTGTCGAGATACTTGAGGCTGTCAGTGCCGAATAACCTACAGATATCACGGCTAAGATCGATCTAAGACTGATTGGACAGCCAGTCTTAATGGATGGGCTTACAAAAAGAGATGTGGGAAGTAAAGAAGTACGTGAGAAAGAGAACGGATGTATTAGCAGTAGCCTGTTTCGGCTGTCTGTTCTATCGTACGAGGCGAGTAAGGCGACGCCACACAACCACACGACCTCCGATGTAGCAAAAAACTATTTCAGGTTGTAGGATTCATGGTAAACCAAACTGCCAGTGCTTGACCATCGGTGTCCTCGGAGCATTGCCCGCGTCTGATGGGAGCAACGGATCAGAAGAGCTGAAGTACGTCGAATGGCTTTTGGAAGAAATAACTCGCCCACGATAGATGAACTCATCACACTCCATAAGTCGCGCTAGCGCCGTACGCCAGTCGCTTCCTCGTGGAACCCTCGTACAGAGAGAGTGAAAATGAGCAAGAGGAGGCCAAGCAATGACTTGGTGGCGAAATATGTGATGTTACCAGCAGTCTCGCTGGTCATTAATATATAATAACCTTTGGGCGGTAGCACCCTCTGGGTGCCTAGCTGCCATACCACCCGAAGGAATGGCAGGTCACTGTCGTCTCTCTGTATGATGAACCCGAGACGGAACATATTGGTTACAGACACTGACAGACGACCCAGTGGCGTGCATGCATTCAGGCTGATGGCTACAGTCCAGATCTCCCCAATGACATCAATGTGTAGCTCTCCACATATCTCTCTCCTGACCACCGCCGAATGTAAATTTGGCGTCCATAACCATTGTAAAGCATGGTGCTTGACGGGAAATGCCAGCGCGTTACATTCTATAAACGGAAAAATCGTTAACTAGGTTCCAACAACCATACTGGAGGACCAGGAAACTATTGACCAGACCTCTTGCTAGTGACCAATCCGGTAGGAGACTCAGAGCGTCGCACGGGTAAACCGAGCTTAGCTAAGTGGGTTACGGTGGGGCCAAAGGCAAGGCACCCCAGTAAGGTCGAGACTTTTCGTGACGGCGGGAGACCATCCACATAAGCTTGGAGGTAATGCACTGTTGAGGGATATCGATATGAGTACCGGAGCAAGGAATTTGTTGGTTTGGGTCACAACTATTCGGTTATTAACCCTACAATCTTCGTTACGACGACGGTATCGGACTAAGTGTAATACGAGGAAGCGGGGTTACTAGTGTCCACGACCGATTTGCACCTAGACTTAAGAGATTGCTCGACCAACACAACCACTGGTGTTAACCAACAAATAAAGGGCATCGACATTTGTTTCTCCTATAGATCCCCCTAATCGACTTCACGTCCTGCACAGAGAGCAACCATTCCCCATCTTAACTCTTAATTTCTTCAGACATCTGTACCAGCTCAGAATGGCGACCGCGCCGAAGTAAAAAACGATTCAGATTGCTCACAGTTTATTGCATGCTGTTCTCTTCCCTCCCACCATCCTTTCTCCAATATAATTCACCTTCTCTTATGGACACTCTCCTTAAACTTACACTATCTAACAAAAAAAATTCAGGAAGTCTGGGTCGATGCTTCATTCGTGAAGACACCTTCATAAATTTTGTTTTCTACTGCTAATTAGTTCGCTACAGAATACTGTGTTCGGGCTGTAGAAATGATTCGTTTTCCGTAGTATCACACTAAACCATACTGTTCTCTTTCAGTAATACTATCCATGTATTAGTCCGCCGTGGGACACAGACGCCCCTTACTTGACTGTTTCTCACTGCTTATTAAGAATGTCCTCTCGATCCACCTACATTGCCGTCCAGACACACAATGTGTTCGTCACTCTTATCAAATTTCCTCTATCCTTCCCGGGAGTTTTCGGCTTTTCTGAATTCCAGTTAGTGCATAGCTGAGTTCAGTGAGAACAGTGGGGTACGTAACACTGTTCTCATGTTAGCGTTTTGCTTGGTTCCAGATAGCCTTAGTCCGTGTTCGAGTTATGTAAGTGCAGTCATATGCATTGCTTGCTGGTGTGGCAGTTAGAGAGGACCACTCAATTCAATTACACTACCTCAAGGTTCTGAAGGTCGCTAGCTTGAATATCTTCAACGCCCCATTCACTAACCGACTTTACACAAGTGATTTTGGATTCCATTAGAACTGAGAGAAATTGTATTCGTTGATGTCGTACACTGGGGTCAGATCAGACGGAATTCAGTTTCGTTTAGACTGAGATAATGAAATCGAACAAGCTTGCATTTTTGAGCTTGAAAACGGTCTATGGATAGAAAAATAGTGATCAATGTGTGCACTGGCCGCGCCCATCAAAACGAGGTTAAAGACCAAATTACTCACGAGTAGTTTAACCAAAACCTGATTTGATAGCGCTCCTCGTCCACTCAATAAATTGCTGTAACCCGGCAAAGGAATAACAAGTCACAAAAGGAATGGTAAATATTAACACAACAGGTAGAGACAGGAAAATTAGCTGAAAAACACACCAGTCCATTATCAAATGAAAGCATCGTGGTCGACGATCGTACATTTGTTCGAGAAGAAGGTATAAACTGTACACACTGGGAGTTCAACACCGGTTCTAATGAACAGTATCGCACCCCCGAAGTCAACATGGGTGCGAAAACCATTCACGCTATTGGCTCTCCCCCGCACTCTGGCCCCTGTGACACGTCCTCGAAAGTGCGACGTAGTATGCCGCTGGCTGACACTCTGCCATGTCTTGAAATCCAATCGGCCCCAGTTCACAGTCGGCACAGGTCAGGTATCGAATCGCATTGACCGAGTGCGTAAAGCCAACGTTTTCGAATGTGTACATATCGTGCACAGCCCAGAACTGCGTTATCATATCTGTAGGAAATTCGTTGGACGGATTGGATAGTTCGGACTTTTTCGCATACACAGGAATGCTTTGCTGGAACATGATACGGACAGAGAGAGAGAGAGAGAGATAAACGATTACGCTACGGTTCAGCGAGCAATTGTCTACAAAGTGACAGACAAACTAAAGAGCATGGCGACTCCATACTTATAACTGATAGGCAGCGGCGTATGAATCAGATGGATATATGTGAACAACAGGAAACAACGAAAGAAATCGGCATTGTAGTACCGAATCTGTTGGCGGACTCGACTGACACGCTGATCTGTGGTGTGCTAAATTCGACAAATGCATCACTCTAATTTTGTTAGAGATAAACAAAGACTCATTGCTACCCGTGGATAACGCTGGTGGGAGCTAACCTGATCAAGCGTCCCAGTGACGCTTTAAAGACTGTACTTACGGGTTGCCTAGCCGAATTATACCCGGAGCCCGATAGGGTGCTGGGTCTTCCGTCAGGAAGTGGCAGTCATCGTTCAGAAATCCATCGATTTCAGGGCACGGGTTCGGTAATCCCAAAAGCACAGTATCAGGCGTGGTCACGACTGTGGTTATTTCTTCCAAGTAACGACTAATGAAGGTCATCGAATAAGGATACTTGATAAACCTCTTCAACTTGTGGATAAGAAATCTTTTCTGCGCTCAGATTGCGTTCGTCCCACAGGTTCACCCGGAAAACCTTATGGAAATCTGTACCGCACGAAAACACTATCTGAATGAGCGCGTGCATTCCAGAATGACCATGAGTCAAGAACCGAACCTCGCCATCAGTAGCATGCGGCAATCTCATCCATTTAGCTCCACGGCTGTTCAGCAGTAGAGGTGCCATAAACGCGCATACTGTGTCTAAACCCGGTACTATTGGGAAACAAGCGGTAGTCATTACAAATTTGCGAATGACCGTTACCACCAATTACGTAGTGAACTAAGGTATCCCGTTTGTGCGCTAATGTCACCGGCTACGATGACAGTGTGTGAACTTTTCATAGTGAATAACATGGTAATTAGTTTTCAATAAAGCGCCTTTAATCGAATCCGGGATAAAACTGATTGATGGACACTGTAAATAAAGACTGATTAGTGTTTCGACCAGTGCTAGTTCATATAGAGATGGAAATCCGCACAGTACAGGTACAGCTGCTTATGGATCCACAATCAAATAAGGAAACCTTTGCTAAAACCCGCTACAACAGGTGAGGTTTGCAGTTGACACCTAGATAGCGGAGCTTCTGTCAGTTCAATTACTGCTCTTAGATTTTGTTCCGGAAATGTAGCAACTGCCTATTGACAGGGTACCCAAAGTGCATGCATTAGCGGTTTGTGCATCGGAAGCTGTAATAAAGACAAGGAAGCGAGATTTGAACAGCGGTAGGCGCCAGCGCTGGAGTGGAATCGGTCACTTTCCTGGGCACCTGACTGACCTGCCTACAGATGACATCTGTAGAAAAATGATTAGCAAATGGGACAGAACGAGAGTTAGGAGATAACAATAAGGTAACATAGAAGCGTCAGCGGTCACGTGCTTCCTACTCTCCATCCTGCGGAATGGTGACCCGGTTGATGCCACCAAGCGATGGCCAATGTGGTATAGAGGTAGTTTCACTTGTGAAGTTAACGGCTCTAAGCGGGCTGAGATATTGTCAAGGCATTAAAATCCGTACAGGAGGACAATTAGTGTCCACCATCAAAGCTTTTAGCACAAAGGTCTGACCACAAGACACCTGGGGTCAGTGTGAAAAAAAAAACATTGCTAAACCTACTCTAACCACAACCAAGACCAATCAGGTATTGGAAGCTCCGTGGATGCCAGATCAATACAAGTGATGAAAAGTAGCAAACGTGATCCGGGCCTTTGAGATTCGTACACTGACTTCATCAGACACAATTCCGTCAGAGCTCATACAACTGCCGAGGTAAGTAAAACTCTCCACCACCTTCAGTGATTCACCATGAATTGTTAGCGTTATATTCAGAGACTGTACGTTCTGAAGCATGAATTTGCACTTTGAAGGTGATCGGCAAGTGCCGAAAGATAATATGACGGCGGTAGTCTATTCAGGAGGTCTTGTGCTCCATCTGGGTAATCAAAGATAAATGAGGTGTCGTTTGCATACTCCAGATCGACAAGTTTCTCACCAGCAGAAATTTGAACATCGTGATTTGAAGACGATTCAGCGTTTGCCTGAGTACTTCATCAATGGTGAAGAAACGGAGAGTAGACATCCTTGTCGGACACTTTCTATGGGGGAGCTTTTAGGGGGCTCATCATGAGTATGTGAACATCGGGATCGGATTATGTTGATAAACTTCTGGGTGAACCTGCTGAGCAAGGGTGTTTAGCAGCACTCACCAATCGACAGAATCAAACGCACCACTGAAGTCGAAGAAGATAAAGATTGTGGGTAGTCTGTACATGTGGCTTTACTCCAACACCTGACGAAGTGTGGAGATGTGGTCAACGTAGCCTCCACCCACCCGATGGTCATCGGTCAAGGATTCGCGTGCCGCTGTATGACGACGAAGAATAGGTGAAGCAGGAAGCCTTGTCACAACAGGAGTCAAACTAACACTCGTGTTGTCATTACATTCACCGCGAATGCCCTTTTTGAAAATGGGTACGTTTCTCCACTCACCCCAATAGCCTGGGACGGTCTGTTTCTCTCAGATAGACCCAGGCTAGACAGCCTGACCGAGAACTCACCGTCGTCATAAAACAGAACAGGAGGAAGATCGTCAGGGCCAGCAGCACGATGGCGCTTGAGTACAGAAATACACTAGGACACTTCTTAGACTGAAGGTGGCTCCATATTCATAGCCAACCTTTCTGTTGAAGGCCAGGAGATAGCAGGTGGCCAACTGAATTGATGTTTGAAGTACTGTGTCCAGCAGTCCAAACGTTCTGCCCAGCTGGATACTAGGGAGTCAATTTGGTCCCTGATAATTTCGCTAACAAGTGGTTTTCCAGGATTAATCGAGCGAACAGCTTGCGGACGTCTACAGGGTTTTCTGCATCTTCCATTTCTTCGACCATTCGAGTCCACCAAGCTTCTCGTATAACCATGAAGTATAGAGATGGGACAGTGGGTTCAGCGACGGCGCGTGGGTCTTGACGTCTAACATAGTTTAGTACCAAGCGAGCCCTGTGTAACGGAAATTGCGGTCAGTCATTTTGCTTGGTTCAGAGTACCAGCCAGATATGGAGTTTTATTTCTAGTTAGCCAAGACTGTCGGTGAGGAGTGACGTGCAGATTTCACAGCTAACGCAGGCGTAAGAGGTACTAAGGCACAGACCATTAGTGAGGTGCAGGGAAGAAATAGATAAATCGGTAGATTGGATCCGCTTATCTACCTTGTTGTACGTAGCAGGGCAACCCAGCTGATTTCACCACGCGAAGGTTGGTGTAGCAAGAGGTTACTTGTAGCCGTGTTATTCGTGTTACGAACAGGGTACTGAGGCCTAGACTAGTGGATGACTAGAGTTCTAAAACATACATGCAATTCAAAAGGATACCCATAAAGCCGCAGTATTTAGAAAAACAATGTTAGGGGATTCCGGGTTATGAGGAATGACTGGCCACATACTTCCAAATTTCCGACCTGGCGGACCAGTAGACCGTATTAGTCAGACCGCTATCCACTAGCTAAATGGACGGAAGGCTCTATGAGTATCACAAAGTCATGCTCCATAAGAACACAATGGGTCACTCTCCTACAAGGGCCAGTCTCATGTTGGTGGCCGCATAATTCTGAGCACGGGGAACCCCATCCCCAGAATGTCTGCGGACCACATATTTGGAAAGAACATAGTCATAGATACGGCACCCGACCTGACACAAACAGAGTACCCAGGAGTAGGTTGCAGACGGTGCAACTTATGGTATACGTCCATCGACCACGAAGTATCTTGTACCGTTTTCGCTGAGTTGATATGGTTGCCACAAGAAAACTAGGTTTGGCGAGCAGGTATTTGCCAGTTATTTTGTTTGTAAGCCATTGTCCCGGGTAACTCAAAATTCTACACGATGCTACCATGGGGAGCACCTGGAGTCTGATAATCTCCTGAAAAGACAGATTTGCGTTTACTTTATTCTCGTTCAAATAGCACTTCTGCCCTGGTACAGTTATTCTAGAGGTGTTTGGTAGAAAGTTTAAGAGCAGAGGAAGGCGCACCGGAATCGGCCAGTGTAAAAATCAACGACATTTCAGGACACCGCGATTTTACCGGACGAAAAACAATTCGTCAAACTGTTGTTATTGTCATTATTATTAGCTATAACTGGTGTAAAAATGCTAGCTTTGGCTGCAACTGACAACGCTACGGAACGTCAACTGACCTGTCGTTCGATCAATTTGGCGGAATTCTTGCGCAACACGACGCTGCCACATCGAGGGCAACAAACATCGAATACATTGGTACCTTCTCCAGTTATTAGATCAGTAGACCCACCGCTTTTTGGAGCTACCCTGGCAAAAATTGGGAACGTCTGCCAAACACCAACTTACTCTACAGTTGCCATTTTCCGACCTTCGATGGTGAAACCAAAGCCACTGGAAAAAAGAGGTTATCGAAGAATGAAACGACACAAAAGTAGATGAACAAAGACGTTTAGAGGCTCGAGAGTGAACCAGAAATTATGCGAAGTGACAGGACTTTACCAAAAACTGACGGTTTGCGCTCCTGCGTAACCCACTGGGATATATTGGTGGTTGTCCAACAAGAAGGGACCACAAAAACGCCACCGGTATCAATTATCAGCCATACCTTGCAGCGTCTCCAGTCAGACGCAATGGGGATCACGCAGTCCTCATCCTGGTAGGCGAGTAGCACCGGTGTTTCGTAATCAAGAAGAGCAGACAGTCAACCGAGTTGGATGTCTTGGAAATTCAGGATTACTAAAATTGTCGGTCAGTTTTACGTATGGCGCTGTTCTAGAACCTGAAGAAGTATGAAGATTTGGTCAACGCAGCCCCTACCACGCTGGAGTCCCGTTTGCTGCTCTCAGTCAGTTCCACGAGGCGATAAAGAACAAGTCTCGTTATAGCCGGGTTTAATTTGATCCCCCTTGGTTACCAGACTCAATACTAGCCCCTTTTTTGAAAATAGTCACTATCACGGACTCTCCCCAGTTGTTTGGGACAGTCTCCTTTACTCAAATGCAGGTAAAAAGGTTAGAGGAGCGCTGACTGAGGACCCCACCGCTATCTTTGGAAAATATGGGTGGGAGGTCATCTGGACGGTGACACTTGAGAGAACATATGAAGTCACAAACCATCGAGGCCGTAGGGGGCCCCCCGTTCACTGTCTAAGGTCCTACGTCAACTCTGGTCTCCAGATGAATAGCAGAGGGTGGCCATGATAGAAAAGAAAAAAAGAAAGCGTTCAGCTGTAGCACCCTTCCGGTGCCTAACTGCCATGCCACCCGGAGGAAGCACGAGGGCTAGGATACTGCCAGGTTGCCCAAGCCTAGACAGGGAAAGTCGAGTGGCGGAGGTCGGATTCGAACCACGAACCTTCCGGTCAGTAAATTCGCGCTCTAACCACTTGGGCCATCTCGCCATGATAACTGTTGTTCGAAGTATTCGGCCCAACAGTCGAGGCCTTCTTCTTTACCCAAGATGGTCATTCCATTTCGATCTTGAAGGTTTCACTCACAAATGGCTTCCGGAGACATTATATATATATATATATATATATATATATATATATCGTTCAGCTGTTCCGACGTAAAGCTGCTACCTTGAGCAGTAAGTTGGGCTTGAGTGCTGCAATGATCCCGCGAGACTCGGAGGTTTGACTGCACATGTTCTCTCAAGCGCCACCGAGCCTATGGTCCGCACGACCTCCCACCCGCGTCGTTCAAAGATGGGAGTTAAGTCTTCATTGATCGCTTGTCTCATCATCATCATCATCGACAGCATGACATAAGTGTTCAACATCGATGCCTCACTACCGTAGAGCACTTGTCTGATGTTTTCTTGGATCGTTCATCTGTAGTACACTTTCAGTGACTAACTGCCACGCCAACAGAAGCAAGCACAAGGGCTAGGATATCGTCAGATTGCCCAAGCCTAGGCAGGGGAAGCGGAAGGTCGAGTTCGAACCACGGACCTTCCGGTCAGTAAATATTAGCTGGCGGTTGGAAAAAGGAATATGTCCCAAATAACTGGGAGAGTCGGTGATAGTGCCCATTTTCAAAAACGGGTCTCGTAGTGAGTGTGGTAAGCACAAGGGGATCAGCTTGATCCCGGTCGCAACGAGAATGTTTGCGACACTTGTGCTTTGTCACCTAATGTTGGTTCCTGAGGCACTGACTCGAGAGAAGCAAGCGGGATTCCGGCATGGTGGGGGTTGCGTTGACCTAGTCTTCACACTCCGTAGGTGCTAGAACAACACCAACTCCAAAAGCTCCCGTACACAAAGTGGTGTCCGTCACGGCTACCCACTCACTCCATTCCCATTTAAATTCGTCATCGATGAAGTCATGAGACGAACGCTGTCGGTGCTACTCGCTTTCCGGGACGGGGACATCGTGATCCCCACAGTGCTTGGTTAGAGACACTGCAAGATATGACTACCAACGGATGTTAGTGACCTTCTTGTTATCAGTTTCTATCCAGATTGCCTGAATGAGTGTCTGGAAATGTAGACACTTCAGAATGATCGTAGAAAGTTAGCAACAAGTCTCTTCACCACCGACGTTTATTCATTTTTCACAATCAAGCCTTCAACTAAACCATGGTTGCACGGCAGTGAAGCATCGGTGTTCAACACGGATGTTGTCGACTACGATGAAAGCGGAGTCCTCATAAAAAATCGCTCAGCTGCCTAGCTGCCATGCCACATGAAGGAGGCAGGAAGGCTGGGATACTGCCAAGCTGCCCAAACCTAGACAGGGGAAGTCGAGAGGCAGAGGTCGGGTTCGAACCACGGATCTTCCGGTCAGATGGCAAAGTTGAAGACAAACGGAGAGTGGACACCCTTGTCGGACACTTTCTGTGGGGAAGCTTTTAGAGAGCTTACCATAAGTACGTGAAAATCAGGATCGGATTATGTTGACAAATTTCTGGGTGAACCTGCTGAGCAAGGGTGTTTAACAGCACTGATCAATCGACAGGACCGAACGCACCACCGAAGTCGAAGATGAAGATTGTGGGTCATCTGTACATGTGGCTTTACTCCAACACCTGACGGAGTGTGGTATGCACTTTTCACCAACAAAATGTAAGGTCATGCTTGTGGACGTGCAGTTACTGAACATGCCACTTACAATCCAGGGAGTGGTACTGGAGGTTGTGGAGCGTTTTACGTATCTTGGAAGTTGTATTAGTTCTGATTGTAGTGTGACAGATTAGATGAATGCACGAATCTGCAAGCCTCGGGCCATGTTTGTTAACTTGAGACACCTATGGCATCAGAAAGGTTTATCCCTGAATCTGCAGGGACGTGTGTATCAGGGTACAGTACGGGCTGTTTTGCCGTGTGGATGAGATTTGGCCTATTCGAGCAGCGGAACCGAGACGTCTTCAGGTGTACGACAATCTTTGTCTTAGAACTATAGCTCATGCGGGTAGGTGTCGGCGAAACATCATCATCATC